GGAAGACGGCTTAAAAGGTACTAGCCTGACAGTTTAAGGAATTTAAATGAGACAGGGGCTGTGTAGGCTGCTAGCATGGGGCCCCTGCACACAGGAGGTCATTGCCTAGCACCTTGCCTGTCCCTCTGCTGGAAGCAATGTCCTTCCCCGTCCCTTTCTTCCAGCCTGGCCCCTGGCCCCTGCAGGGCCTATGGGACTGCGGCAGTCACCCCTCCCCCCTGCACTGAGGACATCTCATCCTTCCCTGTCCCCGTCCTCGTCCTCGTCCTCATCGCCATCAGTGATTCCTGAGCCCAAACCAGCCCAGGGTGGCCCCGGGGGTGGGTGTGTGATAGTACCACACGCATTGCATGACGTGGCAGGCACTGTGCGCCAGGAAGGGCAGGCTGCTGCCGGGTGCCAGGTGCTGGGTGCACAGCGGCTGGGACGCCCCTCCCCCACCCAGCTAATCCCCAGGGCGTGGAGTCCTGTTCCCTGCTTGCTCAGCACACCCTTCCAATCCTGCTCCAATTTGCCCCTGGGAGACAGGGGAGGAATTTGGACCTCGGGGCTCCACCTCCCCTCTGTCCTCCAGCTCAGCTCTGCCTCCTCCCAAGGTGCTTGTCCCCACTGACCCCCCTTCCCTGTTTCCCGATTCCCACCTCTAGCAGAGAGACCCCAGGCCTTTCCTTAGTGTGTCCCAGGCCTCTGAGCTTCCTGGGGCTCCCCTGGTCAGCAGACCAAGTCCCCAGTCTGCCACCACCAGAAAACATCTGCCATTTCCCACCTAGGCAGACAGAAAGGCAGAGAGGGACTTCTGGTCCTCAGGACGACCTTCCTGCAGCAACCTGCTTATTATCCAGAGCCCATGTTCAGCTCTACAAAGGTTAGTGGGTCCTGCCCAGGCGTGGCCAGGGGTGGCAGAGGGCAGGTGCCTCTCCTTTGCTGGAGGACCCTGGGTAAGTCACATAGTCTCTCTGGGCCTGTGTCCTGGCGGTTGGAAGACATAAAGCTGGTCAATTCCTGCAGCTGGGCAGGGCTGGAGATTGGGTGCAGTGTTCTTCTGGTCACCTTTTAACCCCTGGTAGCCAGAGGGCTGGCAGTTACCTTCCCCGAAGCTCAGAGCCCCTCCTCTGAGGCTCAGAGGGGACAGTGAGAGGGGCCCTCGTCCCCAGAGCACTGTAGGCCCCTCATTTATCCCTGTACCTGATGCTCCCTGAGAGCTCTGCTCTTGCAGCCTCTGTGACTCTGGGGTGCCCAGTTGAGAATAACTCCACCCTAGGACCTTGGTTAAAAGGTGTCTGGGGCCCACTGCCCTCCAGCCCAGCACCTCCCCCGACTGAACAAAACCCCTTCCAATGCTCACACCTGTGATAGGAACAGGGGTCAGGCAGACAAAAGAAGGTGCAGAGCCAGCAACAGAGGTCTGGACAGAGTCCAGAGTCGTGACTTGGTGATGACAAAAAAGAAAATGGGCTGGAGGTCCAGGCTGGGTGGTGGGCAGGCTTCCCCAAGGAAATGACCAGTCACCGAAAGGCCTTCTGGGGAGGGGGCACTGGGCCCCAGGGAAGAGCTTGCCTGTTCTGTCCCACTTCCGGCTCTGGCCTGCTCCCCAGAGCGCCTCCCCTGTGCCCAGAGCCCCCCCAGGGCCCTCACGTCCTCCTGCCCCCTTCCCTGGGGCAGAGGATGCTCATCTCCAAGCACTTTCTGGCTTCTGTCTCTGGCTGTTGGGTGATTGGTAAACAGCTTATTAAGGTGATTAACGCTGCAATTAAAGCCAGAACAACATGGTCCTGGGTGCCAGGGAAGCTCCCTCCCCCTGCGCTCCCCCTTCCCTCCTTCCCCACTGGGCTGATGGATGCAACTCTGCCACCTCGGCCAACCAGGGTCTACCCTGGGACCGGGAAGCTGGGGTGCAGGGGTCCCCCTCAGCTGCTCCCCATTTCACTCACTGGATCCTGGGGTTGGAGGATGCAGTGATCTGGGGAGGGGATGGCGGCACTGGGACTAGAACTAGGGAGGGTCTCCAGGGTCCCCTAGGAAAGAACCTAGATAGAGTTAGAGGCTGTCTTCTCCCAGAGAGACCAAGGGCTCTGTTTCCCAAGCCCAGAGGTCAGGGAAGCGGGGAGGGGGCACCCCTGAGGTGCTGGGCACTTTGACCATGACCGTTCTGGGAGCTCAGTGCCCAAGGAAGCCTCTAAGTACCCGCTGGGTCTATTCCTGTCCTCCCTGCAGCACTGGCCTGGTGTGTGGAGCCCCAGAGAGGCGTGGTGGTCACTCTCCAGATGAGGTCTCCAGGGAGGCTGTTCCCTGGACCCTCATATTTGCCTGTGGACCCACACATCTTCCATGACATGATGTAGATGCCACCTCTTCTGACGCTGGAGCATCCAGCTTTCCCTTCCCAGGCTTTGGCCATCTGTGCCTGGCAGATAGCAAGTGCTCCATAAATGCTGGCCTCACGCTGAGCCGCGCCGTCATCCCTCTTCTTATTTCCCATTTTGAGACAAGTTCTTATTAAACTGATAAGTTGCCCAGGCTGGGCTTGAATTTGGGATCCTCCTGCCTCAGCCTCCCAGGCACATCGATGCCACCTGGTCCAGCTGACTTGTTCCTGAGTTTACCTAGAGGTGTAACAGGTGCAGCCAGGTAGCAGGACAGCCAGGCAGGTACACTGCAGATCAGGAGGCTGAAGTTTAGACAGATTAAGAGACGTGCCCTAAGTCACACAGCCAGCAGAGGGCTGGAGGGGGATTCAAACCCAGGTCATATTCCTGACCCCAGTGTGGAGCTTTACCGAAGACGTTCCCACCTCCTCTCCAGGTCTCCTTCCCAGGAAGAACCCAGGGAGGAGGGGCGGAGCTATGGGGGTTTAGCTCTGACCTCTGCCCCAGACATCTTGGGAAACTGATGCAGAAAAGCCCACAATTCAAAGCACCTGCCTTCTGTTCAAGACCTGGGTTCAAATCCCACATTGTCATGTTGCATTTGGTGACCTTGGCAGGTACTGAGCCTCTCTGTTTTTTCTTTCCTTCCTTTCTTTCTTTTTTACTTTGTGGTGGACTTCGAACCCAGGGCCACGGGCACACTAAGCATGGCCTCTACTTCTGCAACCGCAGTTTTCTCGTCTGAGAAGTGGGCTCATCACACTCACCTGCCAAGTTGTTGTGTAAGAATTGCATGCAGAGTACCTGGCAGAGGCACAGATTAGCAAATGCCAGCCAAGATGTCACTAGGACTTGGAGAACAGCGACCTCGGGACAGCCTGGGGTTCCCCAGCCTACCCCTTTCTTCCCAAACGTTGTCATGGTACCCTCAAGGAGCCCCCACCCCAGAAGATGGGCTGAGTCACCTCACCCTGGCACGCTAGCCAGCCCCCACCCAAGTCCCTGTCCCCTCAGCACACTGGTGCAGAGGAGGAAGGGGAGGTCAGGGGTGGGGCTGACCCCTGGGAAGGTCACCGGGGCAGTTAAGCCAGCCCGACAGAGCAGGGAGGAATTAGGAGCTTACACACCCTTGCATCCTGCCTGCCTGCTGCCTGCCCAGCCTCCTCCTTCCTTCCTCTCTCTTTCTGCCCTTTTTCCCTCTCCCTCCCTTGCTGGCAGCCCAGCCCTAATAAAATGCAGTGTCTCCGGCGAGTCTGCCCGGCTGCCGCCTCCCGCTCCTGCTGCACGCAGCCCTCAAACCAAACTGCTCAGCGCAGCCCCGCCTGGCAGCTGCCACCTTAACCCTTGCCAGCTCTGGGGCGTCCGTGGGCCGAGGCCTCCTCCCTTCCGCTTTCCCGGGGCAGGGGGTGGGGGGCGGCAGGCATTGGGGGGGCAGAGGCAAGGAGAGGGCTGGGGGATTCCTGCCAGGAGAACCTGGCCTCCACGTGCGTGCCCTGCCTGGGGGAAACTGTCCACCAAATCCCCTCGGTGCTCCTGAGGTCCTTGTCTTCTCATCCTTACTGGGCTGTGTGCCTCCTGAGATCCCCAGAGACCAGCAGGGTGGGGACTGTTATTCCCATTTGACAGATGAGGACACTGAGGGCCTGGCTGGGAGGTTCCAAGCTGAGCTGGGTCACTTTGGCTGCTGGGTGGTGTTGCTGATTCTCCAAACAAGATTTTCCATGACAGGGAGCTCACTGTGCCTCCGCATGTACGTGTGTGTGTGTGTGTGTGTGTGTGTGTGTGTGTGTGCCTTTGTGTGCATGCGTGTTGGGGTCCTGAATTTCCCGGAGGGTCACAGCTTTGCCTGTTCCACCTGTGTGATGCTACCACGTCTCAGCTGTGTCTGTCCCAGGAGGTCCCTGCAGATGACACCCTGCTGGCCCCGAGTGGCAGCTCCTGCATGCCTGATGATGGAGACCTGTCACTGTCTCCCGAGTGTGTGCCAGTGCCGTGTCCCCGCTGGCATCTAGACATGGGCCTCCCTTGTCCCCAGTTCAGCTCTCCCCTGGGGGTTGCACTTGGAGCTGGAGGAGGGATGTGAGCGTTCTCTGATCTGGTAACAGATCCCACCCCACCCACACTTTGCCTCTTCTCCCAGCCTGGCCACCCCACCAGCTGTGGGAGCAGCGGGGGTTTCCCCTGCCTGAGGCCCCACCCTCACCCCAAGCAGGGAGGCACAGACAGGAGGCGAGGGGCCAGGAGTGCCTGGGTGTGGAGATGGGGGGGTACACGCGTGTGCAAGCATGTCTGCGTGTGAGCTCAGGATCAAAGAGCAGCCCCGGGGTGACCTGGCAGCGGTGGTGGCAGAGGGCAGCTGGCTGACAGAGGACGCCACACTGCCGCCGCCCAGAGCAGAGAGGAGTCAGGGAGGCCACAGCCGCCCAGCCCTGCCCAAGTCCAAAGTGGGGCTGCCACGGGCCAGGGGGACGCCCGCCACCTGCGGCCAAGCCCAGCCCAGCATCCAGCACAGCCCAGCAGGGAGGTCTCCCTCGGGCCCTGTCTTCCCCAGCCAGGAGCCCCTAGAGTCTCAGACCCCACCCCTCCCCCTGCCAGGAGCTGCTGCCACCAGCCTCTGTTCAAAGAGCACAGTGGTTCTTTTCTTCTTTTTTATTAACATTATATATAAAGACGGGTCCAGTAAGAAAGCAGAATCGAGAAGGCCAGGATGGGTGGGAGCTGGCTTCGTTCCGTCCCCCCAGGGTGGGACCTGGAGACCCACCCCATCTCTCCTCACTCCTACACCTCCCACAAAACCCAAATCCAGCCAGAGCCCACATCACTCTCTTCTCCACGCACAGGGCGATCCATCCAGGAGAAAAAAGGTCACATAAATAGGAAGCCACAGGAGGGAGGAGGCCGCTTCTCTCTGTTGCTCTTAAAAAAAAATACTTACTCTATATATATAGCTACAGTCTTTACCTCCTCGTCTTCCCTGTTTCACCACATCAGGGGTGGAGACGGGTTAGCTCTGGGGGGACGCCTGGGCCAGCCCTCCTGGCAGCCAGCCCTCACCCCTAAGGCACTGGGTCACAGCCCTGCCCTCCCCCCCAGCACCACACTCACCCGCTCCAGCTCAGCGGAGCAACCTCCTTCTGAGGCCGCGGGAAAGGGGGTGTCTGGGGGTTTGTCTCGCCTGGCATGTCTCTGTGGAGATTTGGGGTTTGGCACCCAACCTGCCAACTTGTTGGAGGAGAAAGAGGAAGAAGAAGAGGAGGAGGAGGAGGATGAGGAGGATGAGGAGGAGGAGGATGAGGAGGAGGAGGAGAGGTTGAGAGGCAGAGGTGGACAGAGCTGCCCACCCCGAGGGAAGATTTGGTCCTAGCTGGTCACAATGCCCTTTGCTTTCTTATTTTTCAACAGCTTTTAAAACCAAGGTTGTGCAAAGTCCTGTACATGGAGGAGGAAGAAACAGGGTCCTTAGGAGAAACATGGGAGATGCCCTCTGGGAGGAGGGGGAAGGGGTGATGGTTCCTGTGATTCTTCCCCCAAAGGCTCCCAGATAGTAAAAGATTCCCTCACGTGGGGTGGTTTCTTTGGTTTAACCCTCAAATCTGGGATGAGGGCTACAAGTGCAGGCCGGGTGGTGGGCAGGTCCCCACCCTGAGTCCCAGTCGTGCTGTCCAATGTCTTTTTGGCAGGAGGGCCCCGCAGGAAGGAGAGGCCCCAGGCTGCTGAAGAGGGCCCGGCGTGGCAGGGGTCAGGATCCATCGTGCCTGGCGCCCCAGCCCAGGCTCAGCTTCCGAACGTTCCATGTCCCTGTCCCCTGGTCTCCGGGCAGAGGAGCTTGAAGGTGTTGAATTGTTAAAGCTAGTCCAGCTCCCCCTGGGGTGACTGCGCCCACATCTGGAGGGGCACCCCAGTGTTAAGTAGGGAGAGGGAGCTTCAGGGGACATTCTCGGTCTGTGCCAATCTCATCTGGAAATGCTTGGGTCCCTGGAGAAGGGACAGGGGAGGGAGAAAGCTGGCCTTTCCCCTGTGCTCCTCGGTGATTCCTGAGTGTCGCTTGGACGGAGGCTCTTCCGCCTGGTCCCAGGTCCTTCGTGGGGGGGCACAGGCCAGGCAGGGCTCAGTACACGGCTCCGGGGTTAGGTGGGGGTCCCGGGGAGGCGTGGTGCAGGGTGGCGGGCTGTGGTGGCTGCTGCTGTAAGTGGGGCCCGCTCAGGTTCTGTGCATGGTACCAGGAGTTGGTGGGGTCGTCCAGGTAGCTGGGGGAGGCACTGTACGGGAGCGGCGGGGGCAGCTGGCTGCGGGCAGGGGCCGGTGTGGAGTGCGAGGAGGTGTCCCAGAGGGCTGGCGACGGCGGGGAGTTGCAGGCCATGGAGTCGCTGTTGTTGGGACTGTGTTCCAGGGGCACCTCCCCGTTCTTGTACAGCTTCTTGAACTTGGACCGGCGGTTCTGGAACCAGATTTTCACCTGGGCAGGAGGTGAAAAGGGGCAGCCGGTTAGCACTCAGGATGCAGACAGACGCCCTGCAGGCGAAGCCAGTGTACATCAGGCCCGGCCAGCCCCTCATGTCACCCAGTGAAAACCAGGTGAGACCCAGGCTTCCTTACTCCCAGGCCAGCAGCCCTTTCTTTCTACCTGTCTAGAACCGAGACCAGGAGCATTCCACGGCCTGGTCCAGTTCTGCTCTGCCCCTCGCTGAGAGTGATCTTGGGCATGTTGCTTAACCTCTCAGGTCTGGCCTCCCTGTCATTATGAGGCCCAAGTGAGGTAGGACATTTGAAAACAGAACAGCGCAGTCTACAGCAAGCATGCAGTAGACCAGGCTGGCTGGATACAGATCACTGCAGGACAGTGTGCCAGGTGGACGTGGCAGCCTGCGGCATTTCACTCATGTGAGATACCACAGACAGAGGGATGCGAGTACACAAGCACACACACCCACACCCACATCTCCAGGCCGGGCCACATACCCACTCCAGCTCCACTCACAGATGCCAGGCTCCGCAGCTGCACACATACACAGATCCACCCAGATAAACAGCGTGTGCACCCACGCACACACGCATTCAGGCACCGGGTTCTCTTGGGTTCAGGCTCGGTAATGGAGGAGACCTGGGGACTCAGGAGCAGGTGAGCCACGGTTCCCCAAATTTCCCCTGGGGTATCTCCCCCTCCCCCTGCCGCTCCCCACCCCATGACTGGCACAAACAATGAATCAGCTCCTTACCAGGTGACCCAGTTTCCCCACGGACAGGGCCCCACAACCGCGGTCTGCCTGCCAACACCTGCAGCCAGCCAGGCATCCCCACTCCTCCCCAGAGTAGGGGACAGGCTGCTGAGAGTGACAGTGGGGCTCCCTGCCCTGACCCCAGCAGAAGCAGGGCTGAGCACTCGGGCGCCAAGCGAGAACCGGGTGTCCAGCATGTGTTTCTGTACTCCTGTGCTCACGGGGTACATCCTCCATCTTTGCACACAGTGACCCCTGAAGGGCCACACTCCTTAGGAGAGCATCTTCATGTGCACACAGACCCTGATGTGCAAGCCAATGCACATGCACACCTGTATCCATGCCCGGGTACACTCTTGCGCACACACACTTAGCCTGGTGAAAAGCACAATGTGGACTCCAGTGGCTCCAATCGCACAGCTGGAGGTCCTGGGACCCGGGGATTTGAGGATGCAGCTTCTCTCTCCACCAGACATACACCATTGCACAGGATCACAACTGCGTGTAACACACACACACATGCGTGCGCACTCACACACACACACACATATGCTAAAGCAGGACCTCGCTACAGAGTCTGAGATGTGAAGTCCTTTTATCCTACAGGCGAGGGTTCCCGGAGCCAGCAGGGCCCTTACCGAGCCAGTCAGGCTCAGCTGAGCCTGGGGTACCCTAAGGTCCTGCGCGCTCCCAGCGGTCCCCCTGCCCTCCAGCCCTCTCCGGCCGGTACCAACCTGTGTCTGCGTGAGGCCCAGCTGTGCGGCCAGCTCGGCGCGCTCGGGCAGCGCCAGGTACTGGGCTTTCTGGAAGCGGCGCTGCAGGGCGGCCAGCTGGTAGCTGGAGTAAATGGTGCGCGGCTTTCGGACCTTCTTGGGCTTCCCGTTCACCATGCGCACCTCGGCTTCCGGCTCCTCCTTCACCGACACTGCAGGGGACGCATGGTGGGGGGCTGTTCAGCCTCGGCCTGCGACCCCAGCGGCGCCCCTTCCCGCCTTCCGCCTCGCCCGGGCCCGCGCCCAGGAGGGAGCCGCGGAGACAGAGCCGGCCGGGTGGCCGCCCACGACGCAGCGCTCCCAGTCCCGGCCCTGAGCCTCCGGGCGGCGAGGACCGCAGCGCTGCGCCCCGACGCCCTGGGTCGCCGGCTCAGGCGGGTCCCACCGTACGGGGTGGGGCTGCCTCTCCCCAGCCCCCAACCCTGCCTCCCTATTTTAGAGTAGTTTTAGATTTTCAGAAAAGTTGCAGGGATACTTTCCTTTCTCTTTTCTTTCTCGCTCCCTTCTCTCCCTCAGTTTTATCTTTCTCCTTTTTTTCTTTCCTTTTCTCTCCTCCTTTTGTGTCTGCCTCCTTCCCTCCCTGCTCTTCTTTTCTCTGTTCTCTCCCCTCCTTTATCTCTGTCTTTCCCCCATTTCTCTCTTGCTGTCTGTACTTTTCTCCTCACTTTCTCTCTCCACTTCTCCCTAACTTCGCTCGCTCCTCCAGGTCTCCCCTGTCCGCGTTCCCCGCCACTGTCCTGACGCCCCAGGTCCCCGAGGGAGCGCCCGAGTGGGGTGCACGCGAGATCCCCGCGATCCCGGGGCTCCCCACAGGCCGGAGCCCACTGCTCCCCCGGATTCTAGCCCGAGCCCGCCCGGGGCGCACCGTGCGACCGACCGCGCCGGGGACGCTCTCAGCGAGGGAAGGTCGCCTGCCTGTCCCCGCCGGGGTCACCTGGCCACCCTCCGACCCGGGCAGGACATTCTTGCCCCGGAGCCTCCCCAGACTCGCCTTCCAGTCCCCGCCGGTCTCGGCGCCGGAACCGAGCCGGCCCGCGCGCCCCGGCGCCCGGCCTCACCTGGGTCCTGGGCCGGCAGCGGCTGCTCGCGGTAGGCGCCGTACTGCCGGTAGGAGGCCCCGTAGGTGTACTCCGACTTGGGCGAGTAGGCGCCCGCGCCCGCGAGCCCGTTGAGGTTGAACTGGTGGTGGTAGCTGTAGGGGTTCACCGTCTGCCCGTACGGCTGGCCCGAGTAGTAGTCGTGCTGCGGCGCGCTGTAGTAGCCCAGGTCGGTGACCGAGGACTCGGGCAGCGTGGGCGAGTCCTTGGAGCCCGCATGGCAGCTGAGCGAGCTGGAGATGTCCGTCAGGATGCTGCTGAGCTTGCGGTCGAAGGAGCCGCTCATGCTGGCGGGCGCCGCAGCGCACCCCCGGGCTGGCCCGGCGAGGACGGGGGCGCGGGAGGGAGGGAGGAGCGGGGCTCGCGCACGGGGAGGGGGCGGCCGAGGGCGCCTAGACCATCGCCGGCCGGCGGCGGCGTCGTCGTCGGGCGGTCGCTTCACGTCCCAAGCCACAAATGCAGCCAGCTCCGCCCGGCCAGCCGGTTATAGACTCAATGTTGGAGCGGCGGAGGGAGGCGCCCGCGCGCTGATTGGCTGCGAGTGCTGCCTTCCAGGCAAAACACGCTCGGGCGCCTTCGCGCCCCCCCTTTGTTGTTACCCAAAACGCAGGCAGACACGCGCGCGCGCGCACACACGCACACGCACGCACGCTTAGTTTCTCCTATAGCTCTGGATAACTCCTCCGAATGAGAGGTGGGGGTGATGGCAGATCTCCCGGGATCTGTCTGTCTGTCTGTCCGAACTCTTGTCGTCTTGGCTGGGGGTGAAACTAGGCGAGATGGAGAAAGACGAGAATTTTCCCTTAGGGGGGGTTTGTGGCAAGAGGTGGCCCAAAGTGTGAGTGTCAATGTCTGTGTGTATGTGTGTGTCTGAGAGAGAGAGAGAGAGAGAGAGAGAGAGAGAGAGAGAGAGAGACAGAGACAGAGAGACAGAGACAGAGATAGACAGAAACAGAGATAGAGACAGAGACAGAGACAGGGATGCTAATGACAGGCAAAAGTGGTAAGGGCCCAGCGTTCATGAAAATATCTCAATCTCTCCAAATCAATAGGAAAAGAATTTCTAGATTGGAGAAAATGTTTGATTATAATACCCGTAGTATCTTTACAGTAATGGCAACCATAAAACGTTTTTTTAAAAGTTAGGGACTCACTAGGCAAAAGCACTTTAGGTTTACAAAAGTCCTAAAGTGGCCCTGGGAGGATCCTATACCGTGGAGAACCCGGTGGATTTAGGGACCGAGGGGAGCTCGGCCCAGAGCTACTTTCAAAACTGTGGGTGCACAGTTCTGGGAGTGGCTGTGGCTGAGGGGGAGAGCCAGGAACCTGGGGTCCCCAGGAGGTTGTGCAGGACGTAGGGTGAGCCTAACTGCAGTAGTCTGAGGGCAGATTCGGTGCAGAATGGGGCAGCGCGGCCTGGGGATGCCTCGGTGTGTGACGTGGTGATTTCCCGTGTCAGCAGCCCACAGAGCAGATGCAGGAGTGCATGTGTGCATGCGTGTGAGAAAGTGTGGCCGTGGGTGCGGTGGGGGCTCAGGCTGTGGGGACCCCGGCAGGTGTGACGTGCAGGTGTGCAGAGATGGCTCAGTTACTCCGCAGTCCCCGTTGCTGGGAGCCAAGATGCTCCGTCCAGAAAGCCCTGACGAAAGGGCTCCCCTTCCCGGGGACCCCAGCTCCGTGTTATGCTGGCCCACAAAACGCAGCTCCCAAGTCATCCTGGCTGTTCCCAATGCCTGGCGTTTCTTCTTTCCATCCCACTTCTGCTCCTTGCCTTGTCTTCGAAAAGTGGGGGAGCCTCTCCCAGCCTCGCTTCCTAGCTTGCCCCCCGCCCCTCATTCTCCTGTCCCCTGGCCCTGCCTAGCCAAGCCGAGCCCGAAGACACGCAGTGCCAGCGCTCCACCTGGTGGTCATTCTCGGCTCTACAGCGCCCCCGCCCACTCAGCGCCTCTCGGGCCCCCGGGGAGGGGGCTCCTGGGGACCCGGCCCGCCAGGGAAGCGTGTAAGGGGCTCCGCGTCCCTGTCTCAGGCCAGGGCCTGCAGCACGAGAGCGGTGACTGGCGGGGACGGGATCGCCGCCTGCGTCCAGGGACAGGAGCCGGTGAGCGCCAGGCCTGCGCCCTGGGGCGGCCGCCGCGTGGGAAAGGTGGGGGCGGGGGCGCGAGGGCCGCGCTATCTGTCTGTCTATCTGCGCGTCCCCCCAGCGCCTATCGCCCGCCGCTGCGAGCCCGTGGCGGGGCGAGTTGCCACCCGCTCCGGTGCCCTCTGTTCTGCTGCCAAGAGGGCGCCCCGAGAGCCCGCGGCGCGGGGGCAGGGAGGGCACTGGGCGGGCGGGCGCCGCCCCCAGGATGGCAGGGGAAGGCCTGGGGCCTGGCCTGGATCACCCCGGGCACCCCTCCGGGAAGGGACAGCGCCGGCCAAGCCCCTTCTCCGGCCCATTCAACTTCAGCTGCTCCTCGGCTCCCCTGCCCCTGCAGCCCTGGCTCCCGAGGAAAGCCAATGAATGGAGAGCGGGCTAGTGGCGGGTAATTTTAGGATAATTTCTAAGCTCCCTTCCTCTGCGCTCTGGAAATTCGGAGTTCTAGAAGTGGACTAAAACTACAATTTTAGGAGCTCCCACGAGCCATTAAGCTACTGTTTGGTAATGTGGGGTTCACATCTATTCCCCATAGCACGATGGCAAAGCAGCGACTGCCCCCTCCTCCGATTCACCTCTACTTTCCATGCACCTAGGACAATGTTAAGCGGTGTTTGTTTGTTGAGTGACTAAACGAGTCTCCATAACCGGCACTCCTGGCTTAGGCTGAGTGGGGGCTCGGTGGGAGACGGACAGAGTCCCCTGCCTGGTGGGGGTTGAGGGGTGAAGAGGTGAAGGAAGAAAGGGCGGCGCCGGATCCTTCCAGGCCCAGGCTCGCAGGCCGCCCTGTCGCTGGCACCAAGCACCGGTCCCTGTTGGGGCGAGCTGTTCCCCCAGAGCCCAGGTACCCAGTGGCCGCTGCAGCGGCGCTGCCGCGTGGCTGGCTGGCTCGAGGGCAGGAACTCGGCGAAGGACCCGGGCCAGCCTTTCCTGGGCGGCGGGCGCCATCTAGTGGTCACTGTAGACAGCGGCGAGACCCGAGGTCCGACCGCCACCTGCCGGGCAGGGTTCGCGGTGCCCAGGAGGAAGCGCCCACCCACGCTAATATTCCTTTCTGTCGTCACCTCGCGTCACTCCTCGGCTCCCCCACGCCACCCCGCCCAACCACCTCCAGCCAGTGACTCTTTACATAGGGATCTTATTTGTAAATCAAAAAGTGGATTTTTCCATGGCCGCTGAGGTCGCTTCAAACTGATGTTCTCTGATCCTAAAGTCTGGGACTCCTAGGGCTGGGCGGGGTGGCGCACGCCTGTAATGCCAGCACCCGGGAGGCTGAGGCAGGAGGGTCGCCATGAGTTAAGTCCAGCCTGGGCTACACAAAGTGAAGTCGAAGCTAGCCTGAACTACACAGTGAGATACTGCTTCAAAACAAACCAAAAGAAAAAACACAAAACTAAATCCCTAAAAGATAAAAAACTGAAAGTAAATTCTAGGACTCCTCGCGCCCCCACAGTCCCAGCACCCGGATGATCTTCTGGGTCCCCCCATCCAAGTGTCACACAGAGCTGTGCCAGCCCTGTGCTGGGTGCCTGGGGTGTGAGGGCCCAGACTCACAGATGCCCTCTCCGTGGGGCTCAAGTTCTCACCGGGAGTGGACACGTGGGCGACCAGTGTCTGCGACAGCCTAAGAACCCCTGAGCCCTTCGCAGAGGCAGGAGGGTGTCTGAAGCGGGTGTCACTCGACCCGGAGCTGCAGGGCTGGGAGGTTAGAGGAGCTCAGGGCCACGGCCAAGGCTTTCACACAGGTGCGGGGGCCTTCCAGGGGCACAGCGGGTAACTAAAGGTGACCAGGGTCAAGATCCCAGAACAGAGAGTGCAGAAGCCTAGAGTGGAAGATTGGGCTTCGTTTGGAGACTTTGGGGAGCCATGGAGAGGTTTTAATCGCAGAAAGGCATGCGAGGATTATCATCCTGGAAGGTGCAGTGTGGCCACACAGGAGGAACGGTATGTGGATAACTCGGTGGGGGGGGTTGCTGTTTCTCCTCTCCGAGGTGGAACAGAAAAGACTGCAGAAGGTGTGTGGCTGTCACCCACAGATTTCAGAATCAGGCTAAGCTCGGTAGCAGCACCCAGTCTGTGAAGGAGCTCCCCAGCCTGCTCGGCTTCTAGCAGCGGGAAGGGTTTTGTGTATTTCCTTTTTCCTGTTTGGCCTCTTCCCCTCCTTCCCCCCACTTCCTGCCTCATCCTACCTCCCGTCCCTCTCCTTTCTCCCCTCCCCCTTCACTTCCCCTCCTCTCTGCCCCCCTCTCCTTCCCCTCTGCTAGGCATCAAACCCAGCGCCTGAACGCTAAGCACCTGCTCTGCCACTGAGTTACCCCCCACCCTGCACCTGTGTCTGGCTTCTTTGGCTCAACATTAGGTTGGAAATTTTATTTAGTCATTTATTTGTGTTGTATTGAGGATTGAACCCAGGACCCTTGTACTGAGTTACAGCCCACTCCTTTTTAAACTTTTTATTTTGAGACTAGGTTTTTGCTAAATCACTAAGTAGCCCAAATTGGGCTCAAGCACGCCATCCCCCAGCCTCAGCCTCCCAGAGTGCCAGGGTTACCGGAGTGTATCACCACACCCGGTTGGAATTTATCCATGTTGTTGAAGATGTTTGTAATCATTCTGTGTAGTCACTGTGAGTATCCCACGGGATGAATGGATTAGCAGTATTTATCCATGCTGCTGCTGCTGGGCACGTGAGTGGTTTCCAGTTTGGGACTCACTAAGGAATGCTGCTGTGAGCACTCTTGTCTGTGTGTTTTGAGGCACGTGTGTGTTACTGCTGAGTGCTTTTGAGGTAGAATTGTGTGTCACAAGCGTACAGATGTTTAGCTTTAGTGGCTGCCTCGGAGCCAGCTGATTACAGACTGAAATCTCCCCAAACTGTGAGCTAAATAAACCTTTGCTTTCTTCATTTTGGGTGTTGGATATTTTGTCCCAGCAAGGAGAGAAAAGTAACCAAGATAGAATTTGGTACCAGGAGTGGGGTTGTTATCTGTGGCTGTACCTGACATGTGATTCAAGAGCCTTTGGGAATGGCTTGTGGGAAGAGTTTGGAAAGGTTTGGAGATGTCACCTGAAAGAGCGGTGCTGGCACAGCTTAGGCTGTTCTGTAGGGGAGATTCTGGTCAGAGCTCGGGGGACAGAAGGCCAATAGAAAGTCTGCTGGTAAAGACCAGACTTGGGAGGTTTCTGCTGGGAAGAAGGACTGCATTGGTTGTTGGACTCCCCATGATGTGTGTTATGGCCTGGCAGAAAGTTTCTCTGCATTTTGCTCATGTCCAGAGACTTTGCCTGAGACTGAGACTAAGGGCAATGG